TTTTTGCATGTCCGTATGCATTTAAACACGTATCAATTCTGTGTCACAATAAATGTTTTTTTGTAGCATCACACAATGAAACACAATAACACATATTCACATGTATGAGGAAAACGTATTTAATACGTCGATGTGAAGGCACAGTTAATTTGTTTTTGCCCTACCCAGTGATGAGGGTGTATATTAAGTTCGTTATTCAATTGAGAAGTAATCATTGACATCTAAAAGTAGTAAGATTTTGACTAAAATTGAAAATAATAATAATAAATAATTATAAAATTTTAATCTAAATATAAGTTTTAGTCTGAGATTTATAGTAAAATTTAGTGCAGAATTTTTCTTCTTTTGGTAATTTCTGATTACAACTATTTTTTATACTTTCATGTATCAACTGGAAAAAATGCAGAGGAAAATTTGGAAATGTTTCCGAGTTTTTTGGCAACATTGATGGAATATTTTCTTGAAATAAAATGGAAATGGTGATTTCTTTTCTTTGGTAACTTATAGTGAAGTTTGATGTAGAATATGTTTGTTCTCGACGTAATCCCTCTAAAATAGTGGATTTGGACTTTTGAAACATTCTGAGTAGTATAATAGAATACTAGCAAGTTCCCGCTATTTCGTCAGCGAAATCAAATCTTAGATTCGTTCCAAAAGTACATGTTAGGAATTTTTTGGTACTTAAAATGCACAACAATGCAGACAAATATTTTTACAATATAAGTCCAAATAGCCTGAATTTTGGTACATCCCACCAAATTCAGTCTAGAAGCAAGTACATCAAATTTGGGGTTTTAAGTCCCTCACATGCGTAATATGAAAATGATATTTGGTCGGACATCAGATACTGCTCGAAAATATATCCGTCAAATTTCATCGAGATCTGTTCAGATTAGGATGTAGCTCCAATATATATTTAACCGATATCAGGTTTAATGGCTAATATCAGTCCAAATGGACTGAATTTTGGCAACTACGATTGAATTCATCCTATAAACCAGTACTTCAAATTTGGTGTAAATCGGCTCAGATAAAGCCATAGCTCCCATATATAGTTTTATCCGATTTGGGGATTAAAGTCCCTCACAAGCGTAATATGCATTCCACAACAATCATCTTTGGTACCAGATATCACATACAGCTAAGAAATACCTCTGCCAAATTATATCAAGATTGGTTAAGATTTGGATATAGCTCTCGTATATATCTTCAACCGATTCCTAAATATTGGTACATCCGACCAAATTTAGTCTTGACGCAAGTGCATCAAATTTTGGAGAAAATCTACTCAGATATAGCTATAGCTCCCAAATATATGTTTCAAACGTTTTCCCCCATTCGTTGTTTAAGTCCCTCACTTTCGTAATATGCATTCGACAACAATGATATTTGATACCAGATATCTTATAGAGCTCAGAAATACCTTTGCCAAATTTTATCGAGAACGGCTAAGATTTGAATATAGCTCCCATATACGTCCTTAATCCGATTTCAGGTATATTGTGCAAATAATGGTTAATATCAGCCCAAATGGAGTGAATTTCGGGACGTACGTTTCCATTTTGTGGAACTCGGTTCCGATATATATTTTTTAATACAATCCTTCTCGAAGTGATATAGCAATACTAAATAAGTATAAAAGATTAAAATGTCTACGTCAAATTTAGTGAAAATCGATCCAGAATTTGATATGACTTCCATATATTTGTTCCCTCTGAAACCAAGCTATAACTGCTCTACAGGTTGTTGATAGGTTGTATTCTTTTGTTACAGGAGCTCTACTAAATATGCATAGTGGTGTAGGGCATCATATGGTCGGCCCGCCCAACTTTTGACTTTTCCTTACTGTTTTTTTTTTTTTTTTTTTTGGACTTTTGGAGGCTCTCACTTGCTTTACCTAGAAAGTATCATCCTAATACAGAGTTGCCCATATTCGACGAACCCATTTGGCAACGCCATAACAGAGATGTCACATCGGTTAATGACATACCGCATTTGAAGCGTAAGTCCAAGCAGATTTTTACCATGAACCAATACACGCCACGCGAGCGCTATGAAATAGTTGAAATTTACATTCAACAGAAGAAGTCAATTGTGAAAAAAATGTGAGAAGTGCGCCTTCTAAGAACACCATTAAGCGTTTATACGAAAAATTTTCGACTGGTAAGGCTCTTTCTAATCCGAAGAGGCCATATAAAAGTCGACCAAGGCGATCGGCCGAGAATATCGCTGCCGTACGAGCCAGTGTTGAGAGGTCCCCAAGAACATCCTAAAAACACCGTTCTCAGCAGTTGGGCATGGCTCGGTCCACTTTACAACGGATTATTCGCATTGATTTGCATTTTTCCCGTACAAAATTCCATTGACGCAAAGAATGTTGCCTGCGGACAAGCCTCGTCGATTGGAATGGGCCCAAAGGTCCGTCGAATATGGGCAACCCTGTACAATGGCGCCCAACGTTTAACATATTTATGTCACTGTGTCATACATGTTTAATATATGTATGCGTCAATTGTATTTGACAAATGCGTACGTTGACCACATTTTTGGAAGATGATATATGCACATATACCATAGAGAAATATTGTGTTATTTTTATCAGCTTAACGGCGAATGAAAACAAATAATGAAATGCTCTATATTTTCAAAACCTTGAACTTGATATTATTGTTCTGTCGTTTAGTACACAATTTTTATTGAAGATTCCAAGATCATCACTTGGAACCTAATCAGCGTTGTAATTAAATAATTAAAAAAAAAAAACAATTGCATGTCAAATGGGAACTTTCATCTTTGCGGGATTTTCTTATCACTAAACCACCTTCAAATATCTTAACGGTACTGGAAACAATTTTTTTTTTTTTTGATACGTTTGAAACATATTAGAAATCAAATAAAAATAACAAAGTTAAATGGTTATAGTACGGGGTTTGAAGCCCTCTATACCCATTGGTATGCGGAAAAAAAGCAATTGACCTAATTTCATATTGCGGAATTTCCCACACTCCCTCCCCCACATGTGTATGAGTGTGTTAGTAAACAAATAATTTATTATTTTCCATGATCACAAACGGAAATAATTAAGGGAACACCCCTGCGACTGCAATCGCATGTTCGTACAACACACGTTCACACTTGTTTTCTTGATTTCAATCGTATCGTATCGCTCGCTTATTGCTAATTCTGAATACATTTATATCACTTAAAACAAAAACGAAAAACATTTTTCCATTGGCAAAAATAATATTCAATTTTCCATCACCATTTAAGCAGACGTGGGTTTCTTGTGTTGCTTGTTTGTCTGTGCGTGATGTGAATTTTCAATACCAAAGTATGAAGTCGTATCAGCGAATTGACGCCGTCAATTTGCCATCTAAATTGTATCTGTAATAAGATTCTATGTACCAGGGTCCTCCATTGTAATACAGAAATTGGGTTTTCCATTTGTCCTAACTTATCACCAGGGGTGACATCATTCCAAAAAGTGCAAGAACTTACACCTCAACAGAAAGAAAACAGACTCAAAAGAGCTAAAGATTTGCTTCGCGTGGTGAGTGGGGAACTGCCGAATTTGGTTTTCTCCGATGAGAAAACATTCGTTGTTCAGCAGTTTGTAAACAAACAAAATGATCGTCTTTACTTGCCAATGAGGTCAGCTGAAAATGTGCACCTTCGGTGGGCCACCAGAACTCAAGCGCCGGCCATGGTGATAGTGTGGGCCGCCATAACAGCCGATGGTCGCTCTCCGCTAGTATTTATCGATCGCGAAAATATTCTGGGGGTGCATTAAAGCCTTGGGCACGCAAACATTTTGACCGCAGACCTTGGACATTCCAACCATAGGACCCAGCACCATCGCATTCAGCACACACCACCCAAGAATGGTTACAAAATGAGGTTCCTCGCTTCATTTCCAGCGCACAATGGCCACCAAAATCTCCGGATACCAATCCATTGGACTATTGTGTCTGGAGTATTTTGGAAAGCCAGGTTGGCACTAAAAAATACCAATGTGTCAATCACCTCAAGCAAGCGCTTCGCCGGGAATGGGCCAAAATACAGCAGAGCAACATTCGGGCAGCGTGTGACGGTTTCATTGGCCATTTGAAGGCCATAATTCGTGCCAAAGGTGACCAATTCCAACAAATCGAAACTTATTCTAAAATTTTATGCTATTTTATTTTAAAAAAAATGTAAAAATAATGACGTTTGACTTTGTTGCAGTTTTTTTATCTCACCCTGTAATAATTTGTCACTGGAAAAATTTTTACAGCTGTCAGACGAGTGGCTTGGAAATATCAGCAGTCTGAAGTTGGTTGCAGTTTTTTCATCTCACTGTGTAAAGGCAGTACTAAATAGTACTAAATTTTGTATTGGGTGATTGAATAAAGCTGAAATACTGACCAAGTGGTACTAAATTGGGTATTGGGGGAAGAGATAGAGCTAGATTTTTGAAATTTGATATTGTGGTCTCAGTTGAAATCTGCAATATTCTATAGCGCCATAATCAAAATAACATATCCCCTTAAGTTCCAAATTTCTGAAGGATTTAGGCCAAAGGCCATTTTAGGACTTAGATCTCGCAATTTTAAGGTTTGTTTAAAATGTAGGACCCGGCGACTGGTTCTCGTTAACCGCGCTAAAGAAAATGCGATTCGGATTAAACGAATAATAATTATGATAAATATATTTAATATAAAAAGAGGTGATCTCCCTCGTTTAGGTCACTTTCAATCTCAACATGAATGTTAACAAATATCACAAAATTACCCATTGTGTGAACCAAAAATAAAAAAAGAAAACCTCCGACAGTGACGATTTCAGCTGGATGCCACTTGCGGATGATGTGTGTTGTTCTTGCATACGAATGAGCAAGCGATCACTCGCTCGCTCGCTCGATCGCTTGACATCAGATCATCTCTCCGTGGTTTGTGTCGTTCGTTCGCAGTGATCACAGAACTGCACTTGTTGTGTGTGCTACAGTTACTCCGTGTGGATGAATTTCTCGTTGGTGATATGGTGTGGTGGCCGCTGGCTAAAGCTTAAGAGCATTCGGAATTTCTCTGCCACCAGCTGGGGGGATTGATCAAATGCTTTTTGATTTGTTTAGCTAACGGATCGTTTAGTTGTTCGTCAAAGCTTCGACTAATTAGAACGCTGCATATTTACGCTGCTGCTTTCAATGCATTTGAATATTGAAACAACAACAAGAAAAAACAAACAAATCCGTGCTCACCTCGCCACCCCCCACCACTCCTCAACGTAATAGCCGTAATAGCATACATATATTTAATATGTTTTTGCATCGGGTGCGAGTGTGTGTGTGTTCGTATGTGTGCGCGCTTTTTGAATGAAAAAATTAATATCAATTAAAAGTTTGAATGAATACAACAACAACAACAACATCAGCAATAACGAGATTAATTAAAATTAGTGCTAAAGTTATTAAGACAACACAAAATCCGGAAATAACAAGGCATAAAACCTCAGCCATGTTTGAGTGAAACGCAAGTCTCATTACCTTGATCCGTTTCTTTTTTTTGCATTTGAACGCCGCCTCCTTTTTTTGTCAATCAAACACAAAAAATATAAATTATCGTTCTCACTTACAGACATACGACATCGTTCCGAATGTGCGTTCTTCATAAAATATTTTCAATGTCAAGTTCATAGAAAATTTGTTGTTATTATTATTTATTCTGTGTGCAAAACAATAAAAACAAAACGCAAACGCCAGTCTGCCTGCCTGCAAAGTAAACAGAACGCAAAGCAGCCCGCTTCTAAGGTATTTTGCATTTGCTGGTAAACGCGCTAAATCTGCCCGACCATCATGGTCTACGAGACGTCATATGAGAGCGGGCGCCAGCCCTTTGTGCCCGACACTCAACGCGGCAATTGGCTGCATCCGAATGATTTTATTTATGCCGGCCTGAGTTTGGCATTTCGCATTGATATCTTCTCGATGTCATGGTATTTGACAATGGAATCGGGAGGTGAGTTGTAAACAAATTGTGCCAAATGAAATAAATACAAAACTGTTCAAAAGGGGAAAAATACTTAAGCAATGGGAACAAGTAAGCAAAATCTATAGCCGTGCGGGGCCGACCATGTGATACCCTACAACACTACAATATGTTAGAAGTCCCTTTATGTCCAAATCTATTTTGGAAGATTTCGCTTTTGAAATTATGTCACGGAGCACTGACCAGATATGACCAGGACATTTGCCCAATATTTACGCACTCCGTCGTGCTGTTAGTTGTTGTGGTCCATTTTATAGCTAAATATAATCCAGTGGTCATTCAAAATGCCACAATTCTTTCCTGTCCTTAACTCTCTTCTTAAGCGTGAAGATTGGCTTCAATATTGTGTTCAGGAATTTTTTTTCTATTTTTGGTCCATTTAAACACCCAAATATATTGCGGACATTATTGAAAACAATAGGCCTAGCCCTTCTGAGCCTAACCCTACCCTTGTGAAAATTTTCGTGAGGATCGAACGATAATTGCAAATATTAAAAAAAAAAAAAAACTGTAGAGCAATTGCAAAATCAGATTTTTTTTTAGTTTTTGGTCCATTTCGACCCCTAAATATTATGCGATCATCTCCAATAGGCTTCTATTCTGGTTCTAGCCCCACCTCCATTCTAAATTTCGTGAAGATCGGGCCATAATTGCGACCTGTAGAGTGATTACAAATTAACATGGACAGACGGGCGGACGGACATACATAGCAAGATCGATTCAGCTCGGCGAGATAGGAAGATCTCTATATACTTTCCTATGTGGGAAACCAATATTTTCGAGGTGTTACATAATTTTTGGGCCAATCAAATTTATAATACCCCCAACACATAGTGTTGTAGGGTATAAAAATTGTTTGTGGTAAACCCCCAATTGGGGTTAAGGTAGTTGCCTTCCAGAGCGTCCCACAATCCATTAATTTTATCATTTTTGCATCATTGCTGGGATCGGAAAAAAAGTTTACATATTTAAGAGAAAACGAGCAAACAAAGCAGCTAGTGTAGATTTTACCCAAATCCAATATTTCTGGCCCAAACCTTTTTATACCCTCAGCCATATGGCTAGAGAGGGTATATATCATTTGATACGCCCAAAATGTGCCTCATCGAAATAACGGTTTCCGAAGCTAGGTCTATTTGAACATTTGGAGTCGATCTAGCGATGTCTCTCCGTCCGTCTTGTCTTGGTACATCGTAATATTATTGTCAAACTTAGATCGTGTTCGGAGATGGGAAATATCGGTCCACTCCTTCTGGTGCCTCTGCCACAAAGGTTCAAAATTTTGAATTATTACGACTCTTATAAAATGTGATGTAAGAGTACGATTGTCTTCAAATTTCACACATCCCAATCATTTTATTAAGCCAAGGTCTGGTGCCTTGATGGAATAGATCGGTCCACCCCTTCTAGTACTTCCCCCCCAAAAGGTCGAAATTTTGAATATCCATTGAGCTCATTAACATTAAAATTAACATCCTAATCCATTTAGACTTGGCACATCTGAATATTTCCATCAACGCAAGATCTGTTATAAAGATGGTAGAGATCGGATCATTTCTTCTGGTACCTCCCCCACAAAGAGTCAACATTTTGAATAACCAAAACGATCATAAAATCCGAAATAAGTACCCGCTTCTCTTCAAATTACACACATCACGTTATTTCTGCTAAACAAGATCTGCTGTGAAGATGGAATATATCGGTCCACTCCTTCTGGTACCTTCCCCCAAGGCGTCAAAAGTGTGAATATGCATGAAGCTCATAAAACATGAAATAAACAATCCATTCCATTCAGACTTGTCACATCCCTATATTTCCACAAACATAAGATGTGATATAAATATGGTAGAGATCGGACCATTTCTTCTGGTTCCTCCCCCCACAAAGAGTCAACATTTTGAATAACCAAAACGATCATAAAATCCGAAAAAAACATGTGGTTCTCTTCAAATAACACGCATCAAAATATTTTTGTTAACCCAAGGTCTGGTGTGAAAATGGGATATAAATGGGACACTCCTTCTGATACCTCCCCCACAAAGGGTCAACATTTTGAATATCCATGAAGCTCATAAAAGGCGAAATTAACATCCGGTTCTATCCAGACTTGTTACATCTCAGCATTTCCATCAACACAAGATCTGTTATAACGATTGTACAGATAGAAGCATTTCTTCTGGTTCAAGATTTTTGAAAAACAAAACGCTCAAAGAAAGCGAAGTAAACATCCAACTGTCTTCAAATTTCACACATCCAAATATTTTTGCTAACACAACATCTGTTTTGAAGATAATATAAATCCGCCATCCCCTTCTTAGATGAAGTATGAAAATGGAATACTTTGTTCCGCTATATCTATTTCCACATTTTCCAAAAATTTACACATATCTCATATAAAGTATTAGAAGTAGTCGTTATAGTCCAAATCTGGCACGTCTTGAAATTTATATCAGTCTTACGTCAGATACGAATTGGTCAATATTAGCAAACTGCTTTAGAACCTTCCCCATAAAGGCTCAACCGTTTGAATAATCATAACTCATGGCTGGGGGTATACATCTGTCGGCAAATCCGACTGATACTATTTTACTTGTTCCATCAGTATTAGATGAAATGGAATGCTTGGGTCCATCGGATGCACTTTTTTGCATTTTCCAAAACTTAACATATGTCTCACATAAAGTGAAGGAAGTAGTCAATATGGTCCTAATTTTTGTACGTTGTAATATTTATATCAGACTGTGTCAGATACGAAATAGAAAATATTGGCCCACTCCTGTGTAACCTCCCTCATAAACTGTCAACAGTTTAAATAATCATAACTCAAGTCATTTGCAAAAATCATGAAATTAAATTGTATACCCTCAGATACATAATTAAATTAGTACCACTCAGTACTTTTCGAACAATTATAGTACACATTTCAAAAAACCCCCTCCATATCTCAACCACAGACACCAACAGTAATATCCATATCAAATTTCAGAATTGCAACTCTATTCCTTCACTCAATACCAAAAATAGTAGCATTTAGTTATTTTCGTACAGTTAAACTAGGCATTTTTCTCAAGGACATTGTATTAAAAATGCAGACACCAACAGTGACATCTATATAGAATTTTCAATATGTCAATATCAGATTTGAGGAATCCAGTCCTATTCCTTCACCTAATACCAAATTTAGTACCATTTAGTACTTTCGTACAAATATAGGACGAATTTCACCTTCAAATCTCCCACCTTTAAATCTCACCCTCAGATAATTACAGTTATCTAAATATCAAATTTCAGGATTTCAGCCACATTCCTTCACCCAATACCGAACTTCGTACCACTTTGTACTTTTCCAACAATTATAGTACACATATACAAAACGCCCTCTATAATTTTAGGATTTCAGCTCTATTCCTTCACCTAATCCCAAATTTAGTACTATTTAGTGCTTTTCAAACAATTATTGTACACACTTCCATAAAACTACCTTCCTATCTCATTTCCAGAAACCAACAGAGACCTCAATATTATATTTGAGGATTACAGCCGTATCACCTCATGCAATACCAAATTTAGTACCATTTAGCACTCATTTCCAAAACCCCCTCCATATGTCCTAGCTACACATGAACGGGGTCCCAAATAACAATTTTCAGATTCCAAGAACAATATGTTTACCCAATCCCAAATTGTACCAAACATAGTACTATTTAATACTTTTACTTGCAGTACACATTTCAAAATTCCAACTTCATCCGTTCACCCTGAACCAAACTCTTTCTTATACTTTGATATATTCTTGGGCAGGACTAGAAAAAGTGGTCGAATATTGTCCAATTCTCAATACTCTTTGCGGTTTATATGTGAAATATATAAAACTTTCTTCTGCGAACTTTGAATTCGAAAGTTGCATTCGAAATTTATGTACTACAAGTGAAAAAATATGTGTTTTCTTTTTATACCCTGCACCACATAGTGGTAAGAGTATTATGTCTTTGTGCATTTATTTGTAACATGGAGAAGAAAGAGAGATAGATCCATAGTTACTTTTGAGGATATTCATAGAATCACTTTCTGAGTCGATTTATGCATTTCAGTCCGTCCGTCCGTCTGTCCATGTATTCTTGTACGCATTCATTATTTGATTGAGATGAAATTTTCCAAACAATATTTGTTTGGCCCAAGGACGAACATTATTTAAGTTGGTGATCATCGGATCAGATTTAGATGTAGCTCCCATATATCTTCAACCGATTTCGGGTTAATTGTGCACCAAATGGTCAATATAAGTCCAAATAACCTGAATTTTGGCACATCAAACCAAATTCAGTCAAGAATCAAGTAAATCAAATTAGGTGCAAATCGTTTCAGATATAGCAATAGCGTCCATATATATGTTTCATCCGATTTGGGATTTAAAGTCCCTCACAAGCGTATTTGGTACCAGATATCAGATATAGCCTAGAAATACCTCTGCCAAATGTTATAAAGATCGGTTCTGATTTGGATGTAGCTCCCATATATATCTTTAACCGATTTCGGCCAATAGCACCAAATGGCCAATATCAGCCCAAATAACCTGCATTTTGGCACATCTGACCGAATTCAGTCTAGAAGCAAGTACATCAAATTTGGTGTAAATCGATTCAGATATAGCCCACATATATTCATCCGATTTGGAGTTAAAAATCCCTCACAAGCGTTATATGCATTCCACAACAATGATCTTTGGTACCAGATATCAGACACAGCTCAGAAATAAGTGTATGTAAATTTTGCCAAGATAGGTTCAGATTTGGATATAGCTTACATATGTATCCTCAACTAATTTCGGGTTAATTGCGGCCAATATCAGTTCAACTGACCTGAGTTTTGGTACATCCAACCGAATTCAGTCTACAAGCAAGTACATCAAATCAAATCGGTTCAGATATAGCTATAGCTCCCATATATATGTTTCATCCTATTTGGAGTTT